TCCCTGGCAACAGGTACTATTTTGCTTGTTTTGTCGCCCCGCCCTTCTGCAGCTGGTCGTCGTCAAGCTAGCCATAGCGAAACGCGCTACCGACCAGCCGCAACTATTCCCTCAGGCTTGATGTCTTCCTGCGCTGGTCGGCTCGACCAGGCGACCGGTTGCCGTGATCCCGGCCTCTTCGAGCCCCCTCTCCGTAATCCGAGTCCCGGTCAATGTGTGGGTCAGTCGCATCTGCCACAGGCGTCGGCAACAAGGCGCAGCAAGCCAGCACGATCACGTTCCCCCGACGACGCTTGGCCGCCGGGCACAGCAGCCGGTCTCGCCTGTCAGCCAAGCGGTCACGGTCCGCTGCACCGGCAAACAATGGCTGTACAGAGGAAGGATGCCCAATTTCCACGAGGCAGGCATCGTCTTCGCGGCACGTCCAGAGGCGGGATGCCTCCGCAAGGCTCGACCGACAAAAGCGCTCCGATTGACAATCGTTCCGCAGAAGGCGATGAGGAGGCCAGTGAAAGTGAGCCTGTCGTGGCTCCAGGCGCCGGCGGGACTCGAGCCTCGGCCAGCGAAGTGGCCAGTTCGCCCTACCAAGGATCCGTTCCGCTCATCCACGTCAAGCCTCAATCGCTGGACGTCCGGGGCACCGGCGAAGGAGGCCACCACCTTCAGCAGAAGGCCAGACATCCGGCCGTCGGTCATCAGCGGAAACCGAGCAAGCCCCCGGCTAGACTTGTCCAGACCTTGGAGGGAAGAAGCATCGCCCATGACCACAGCCTGGGCCCGATGCGCGGCTTGGTCGTCCCTCTCCGCCAGCCTGGACAACTGGGCCCCTGGGGCATAGCCAAGAGGACGGCTCAAAGGCCTCTCCATCAGCCGCAGCAACCACACAAAGTGGTACAGCCAGGGCTGAATCCTCTTCAGGCCCAGTCTCGTTCTGACATGCCAGTCCCGCCGGCTGCAGCTTCGCGGTTGGTGATGGTGCTACGAGCACTTCCCCATTCCAATGGGTGGGCGATCGCAAAGGTACGCTTTTATTCACAAATATTCCTAGTGTATGTGCATAGAGAAAAAAATTTCGATACTCCTCGGCGTCTCACCAAAATGTAGGAAAACATCTGCCTCTTTCCTCGCGCAATTGCCAATTTAAAGAAGACGACTTCTGACTTCCCATTATGGGGAACACCAAAGAAATCACACAAAGAATTGAATTGAGTTCGTGTCCTTTCCTCGTTTTCGCAAAATGATTGTGGGATTCTGGTGACTATGGAGAGCATACCATATGCTGTCTACTCTACCAGTGTTGGCATGTCTTTGTCTAGCATTAGACAGGTTGTAAAATAGACAAATTCATGCGGAATCGGACGCTTCTCGTGATTTCGGCGAAACTTCTGAGAATGTACCCAGACTCTAGACAGCCGCTTCTTCGAAGCCTTGCTGACATTAGAAAAATTGTGAAACTGCTCTATTCATCATGAAGCTGAAACTATGAGCCAGGAAGCGAAGAAGCAGCGTTAACCAATTTGTGTTTTAAATTTCAGTTTGCTCGCTATGCGATGCATCTCAACGTCATTTCTAAGTCCCATTCATTCAACCGTAAAGCGAGATCCCTCATTGTTTTGAGGAAAATTCTTCAAATATGAGTAAACTCTCAGTAAATAAGAATTATAGGCCAAAGTATGCGAATGGAGGTCTTATTTGAGAA